CTATCATTTACAAAACCCTGACTACAATCTCATCTGGACTGAGGGTCCATCCAAACCACCTCATTGAATCTTCATACTTCCAAGGAAAGCAATAAAAGGAAACTGTTGAGTTCCCTGGAAATCATTGGGTAAGCCTATGAGTGCAATCACATATAATCAGGTACACACAATAATTCATTCATACCCAGAATATCTAACTTACATAAAACGGATAAAGAATACCCGAGCAAAGAATCAAGTAATTCGTTCAGTTAAAATTCGTTCTAGTTTCGTTAATCAGGATATCATATCAGACTCAAAGAACAATCATCCTCGTATCGATCAAGGTATCCTCTGGAATCTATTTCCTATTCCTACCAAATCTTATCTGCTGAAACAATTGACATAACGCGTGGACGTACCGTTTAGCACCGGCAAGTCTGACCAACGATCCTCCTCGTATCGATCAAGGTACCCTCTGGAACCTATTTCCTATTTCTACCGAATCTTATCTGCTGAAACAATTGACATAACGCGTGGACGTACCGTTTAGCACCGGCAAATCTGACCAACGAACCATCCTAACTACCTTTTTCTAAATCAGCATTCACGAAATCTCTTAAATATTGAACGTAAGAAGTTAACCATATTCTGCGTATTTAGAGAGCGATCGTAACAGTATGTATATCACAGAACGTAGTTACCACTGAACGATAACGTTAATATTTACGAATATACAACACAATCAAATACACTTTATATGTGAAGCTACTGTTCATACCGAATTTCCAGTTAGTATAAGGGTGCTTTCACAACAGTATAGAATTATTAAGTTTTCAATAGCATTCATGTAGAGCGCGCGTGTATGGATGTATGTATATGTGTGCTTCGGCATAGTTCCTCGTATTTTAGGTGACCGTTTTTAGAGATACAGGATGCCCAGGTGTTTCTCTCCGTAGTTTCTTGTATCTAGTGTGACGTGAATTTCGGAAATTCAGTCACAAAGATTGCTAGGAGTAGGGAACAAACATAATCCACCTGCTACGATCCTCCAAACGTCAGTCACTCGACATTCCAAAGACGACTTTGCTTGTCTCGTTTATCGTTTTTGCACTCTGTTTCCGCCTGTCGTCCTTTCTGCTTTTTTCGTTTTTATTTTTATTTTTGAGCTTTCCTATTCGCACTCGCCTACCTTCTTTACTGTCCTGGGCAAATCTACGTCTACACCACGAGCACGAGGCTGACCGCCAACGAGAGTTCCTGAGCTACCGGACGAGCGATCGACAGAGGCTGGACCAAACTGCTGTTCGTTCCGGAGGACTTCCGTGGAGCCAAGGAGACCCGGGATGGAATCCCTCTACTACTTCTGCCGGCCGCCCATACGGACCGCAAAAAGGGCCTTCGCCACTCGTGCCGCCGATAGGAGGAAATTATTTTGGCAGTTGTAGTGGCGACTGAACGCCAGGCTGCTTATTTTGGCAGTTGTAATGGCGACTGAACGCCAGGCTACTCATTTTGGCAGTTGTGGTGGCGACTGAACGTCAGGCTGATTATTTTGGCAGTTGTGGTGGCAACTGAATGCCAGGCTACTTATTTTGGCAGTTCTAATTCGATTAGCTGCAGTATTGGGTTATGGTATTTTCTGTAAGAAAAAAATATATGCATCTTTCGCACATCTGGGCCAAGATCGTTTACTGATATTAGAGTCATCCGCAAAGATCCAACTGGAATCAGGATCTCTTGACATGCTTGTATAATGACCCCTGGTTAAATGTTGTTCATGATGAAACACAGCACTTGTTACTTTGTAATTATTTCCACCTAATGATAATTTACTTGTGGGAATCTCTTTCATTTTGCAAGTTTCAATTTTAATCATATGCCCGGCCAAGATCGTTTACTGATATTAGAGTCATCCGCAAAGATCCAACTGGAATCAGGATCTCTTGACATGCTTGTATAATGACCCCTGGTTAAATGTTGTTCATGATGAAACACAGCACTTGTTACTTTGTAATTATTTCCACCTAATGATAATTTACTTGTGGGAATCTCTTT